GTATAAAATAACGTTTCGTAATAATTGTGCTCATTGTACGTAATATTAGGAACTTCAAGTTCCCAGAACCTTGATAACAGTTTACGAACCTCATGTGAAAAATTACATTGTATATTTGAATTGTTACTGTTAAAATAACCATCTCCTAGAGGGCCAGCAACTATCCAGCCCAATTGTTTCTCCAGTAAAATTGGCCTTTGAGGCCCCAAATTTATTCTATCCGTTCCAATCAGCGCTCAAAATATGTCAGCACCTAATAGTAAATCAATATCGGAAGGTTGATAAAACTTTGGAGCTGCCAGTAGTACATCATTTGGAATACCTAATTTTTGATAATGAACTGTGTCATGAGGGAGATGCTCAGTAATTTTAGGTAGAACATAGCATTTAACTGATGTATGTATAGTTAATATTAGAAATGGACATATTATCCCTTTGTGATCTTGACTTTAATCATATTTCTTTGATTAATGTAATAGTGTTTGGAATGTGTGTTGTCTAATCTATCAATAAATGTAAAAATAGTCACTACACCTTGATCGGGGTTTTCCTTTGGGTTTATTGACGCAATATTTTTTATAATATTTTATTTTTATAATATAATATTTTATTTTATAATATTTTTTAGTTTATTATACAGTTACATTATATACTAGAATTAACTGACTGCCTCGTTAGTCTAGCGGTTGTAGTAGTGTGACTGCTGATCATGAGGTCCTGGGTTTGAATCCCAGGTCGGGCCAAAAAATTAATTATTGAGTTTTTCCGTCAAAAAATTCTCAGTAGTTGCCTGGAGTCAGGAAGTTGGCGGTGTCTCACCCTCTTGCCTCGGAAAGCACGTAAAGCCGTTGATCCTGCGCCTGATCTCACTCCGGTCGTATTGGTTTGCCGTCCCATCAAATCATGAGAGTGAGGGAATAGAGAGTGCACCTGTACTTGCGCATATACTTGGGCACTATAATCCTGTCCTGCGCCGATGGCTAGCCTCCGTTAAGGCTGGCCGCCGCGGCCGAAATTCGGTCTGGAGGACATTATTATTAAACTAAAATTAATTATAAATATATATAATATCATAAATTTGCTATTAATTTAAAAAAAAAAAAAAAAAAAAATATATATTTATATATATATTAACCCTTTGATGCTACTCTCTACCGCTGTCCTGGTTATTTTAGGTCTAAAATATACGAGACAAAAATACCATTATATTTCAAGTCCAATAAATTTACTGTCAGCTCCTTTAGCCCTTTCCATAAATGTTATAAAATGGTGGCCATTTCGTCCTGTTTAGTGTACAAATTGAGCTACGTACCCAATTGCTACCAATTGGAGAGAAGCCTTACGAATAAGATTAAGTAGGGTGATAATATGAAGCATAAAAATACTACATGACAAATATTTTAGACTCATTTTTTCTCCGACAGTAATGTATTTGATTGTTTATTTAATAATGATTGACAGGCAAAGCCCGAAAAACTTTTATTTCATATTGAGTTCATTACAGAGTCCGAGTAATTATAGAGAAAAGGTAAAAATATAAAACCTTTAAATACAGAGTCTTTAAATTTATTAACATTATAAGTATTTATATAAGAACGCAGCTATAAACGAAACCCCTGCAGTCTCTGTTTCGTATATCATTTACGCACTGCCCGTTCGCCGGAGCGATAGCGGTACTTATTATTGTAGTGCCCACGAGCTCGCTCATAGGAAATTCCATAAGCGATTCCATGAACCCAGCCCACTCACGCAGAGATACATAAATCGACACAGAGGAGCGCTTCAGTGTCAATGGAACTTAGAGCACCTACACTCAAGAAGTTTACATGACGTTGGATGAAGCTCTGAAAAATTTAAAAGAAGTTAAAGAAAGATAATAATTAAAAATATAATGATATCGTTTTATTTTTTATATTTGGTTAAAGGTAAACAATGTGATGAAGAATGCTTTACAAAATCCATAATTAAATAGTCGGCATTGAAGGCTCGCAAGTCTTTTTCAAGACACCTCAACCAGGTCTGATCGCTTACAAAATTATCCATAGGGTTGAGATCGGCTAGGATAATGAAAATAATGAAAAAATAATGTTCAATTGCAAATTTGTGTCGAGAAAGAATTCTTGAGCGATAATTTTGCCTCAAATATTATTTTTGTGATTTTCTTGCCATTGTGGTGTAGTTCTAGAAATAAAGTCGATTAAGGCTTTCACTAGAATTTTGCTGCTTCCGAGAAAATAAATGTTCTCTACATTTTCCATGTTAGTGCTTCAAACTGGTTGGTTATTGGAAAATATTTTGTTCTTAATTTCTTTTATTAATATTAAAATAGTTTGGCGATCGTTTATGAAAATATTTCATAGAATTCTAATTAAATAATTTTTATCCCATAACTACAAACCTCAAATATGAAGCAAACACCTAGCTAATTACTGTTGTCTCTACAAGTACTCCTCTGCAATGCTAATTCGATTTGCAGAGGCAGGTTATGGCTGGGAGACGATATTATTCAAAAAGGAAATGGAGCTTAAGGAATGTATTTTAATTCACGGTTCATTGTTTACGGCGTATTTCGTTATTCTTTAATTAAATTTATACGATATTACTTAACTATTCGCCATTTAAGTATAGGTATATTTTGTTATTATATTTTATTTTGTTTGATAAAAATTAATTTGTTTTATCTAAATAAGTTTTGATCATTGTTTCATCTTTTAGTAGTAGATAAATCCCTATATCTATAACTTCTTTTGAACAACTTAATCTTTTTACAATAATAATGAAAAATTGTTTTTTTTTAATTATCTCAACGTTATTAACTTTGAAGGAAAAAAGATAAAATTATTATAAAAATAATGAATCTAACTTATTTTCTATATGTAAAGGGAAGATTACTAGAATGCTTTACATTTAAGCGCCACAGTGTGTTTTTGCGAATGTCATATTGGTAAAACTCAGATAGTACTTTGACGCTCCAGATCCAGGCGAAACTTTGACATCTTGCACATCACAATTTTTCTAATGATTCATTTCGATGCCTCTTACTTAATACGAGAGTGAAATGGGACGAGCGCCGCAATTAACATCAACAAAGCAAAATTTGTTTATAATTTCAAAGAAAATATGGTTTTACTTCTAAAGAAAACATGTTATTTTAAGAATAAATTATGCCACATCCTGAAGTTTGGCTGCTATGATAAGACGGTTTCTAAGATGCTTACTGCTACTTGTGGTATTGCGTCTTGTGATGGATCTGCGGGTGTGCTGCGCCTCTTTCGAGACATTCTTGTGGTTCTGATTGATGGAGGTATACGGGTGGAGATGTCTGCTGGGATTTTATGGGGGACCTTGGGATGGTGTTAGCCCGACGATAGTTGTATTGACGCTTGTTGCATTTTGCAGCATTGCGTCTCTACGGTGTAAGTTTGGCGGATCGCTATTCTCAATGGCGCTCTCTGCATCTTGGTTTGACTCACACCTAAGTAGCTTTGCCAAAGTCGGGTCCCACCATTACGGGGCTACAGACTATCTGACCTCCATGATGTTTTTAAAACAACAAAATAATATCTCTTTGTAATTTTCGCACCTTTGAATGATTGAAGGCAACATGTTGCTGGGTGAGACAAACATGATTGAAAATATATATACTCAACGTCAGTGACACAAACCCTTTCTGATGGCAAATTATTACTATTATTCTTATAACTGCCTTTTGGCCATATCTGCCGTTGTATTGGTTGGTGGAGCATATGTGTCGACCTCATGCGGGTGTTAGCTGGAGGAAGGATCTAAGGAGACTCTCAAGGCTGCGGTCGAAAGACACACAACGTGGGACTCCATTCCTTTGAGGTGAGTGGTAGACTCATGACACGCTCTGCGGCTAGTAGCCGTGCTGATCATGCAATCGGCAGGAACGGTGGTCTGGCAAGTGGTGGCGCTCACGGAGGGTTTTACGGTCAGTGTGCCTATGTGCCTAAACTGTGTATCGTACATTCCCTCTGGCTGGATTTTTTATCTGTATGAGTTACACATAATGCGCGAGCTTGATATATATATGATATATATATATATATATATATATATATATATATATATATTAGCCTTTTCCAAGGTGAAAGGGATAATTAATAATAAATTAATAATAGGGGAGGGAATAATAATAAATTAATAATGTAAACCTGATACATATGGAATAGGGATGTTTAAATGTTCTTAATCTTTCTCGAGCCCTGTCTTCGTGAACGGGGTTAACTTAGCTTATAAGGCACTACCACCGGCTATCAGTTTCTCTAGTGAATATTTATTCTTCCAAAAGTCACCTAAAAGAACTAAGTTACTAAACGAACACAATGTAAATAAGTGTCTTAACTAAGATGATCACGCCATAAATATTACGAGTGGCCTATTACTAAACCTTTAGAAGGAGCATTTGGAAAGATAATAACATATGTATTTAGCCTGATCACATATATAGATATAATTAGATGGAAAACAGGAAATAATAATATATAAGAGATAGGGGAGTAAGTTACACTATCTAATTTAAAACCACAGACACTAACAAAAAATTGAGTAAATCTGCACCCTGTGACGGTCCTTTAACTCCTGTTGCTACGAATTTTAATTTATTTTATCTTTCTTTTTATTGTGTAATCTAAAATTGTTGCGCAAAATTTATAGCCAACTGCTTCAGTCCAGAAGAAAATTGAAATTAATACTTTGCCCAGTTTTAAATGACTGTACTAAAAAAAATGTTCTACACGAGTTAAGCAAGTACCACCACTTGCACGAATATTTTTAAAATTATGGAAATCATTTTTTTTAAGAAACCAAGTTGTTAATTAATTTTCTTTGCCTGTTTAAATGTATGTATGTAATTTAATATGATCCTTAGTTTTTCCTCACGGTTGTTACTTAAGATTCTACTTTAAGTGAAATGAAGGGAACCAGTTGACGAAGTGTTAGCGAGACAGAAATCCTCTTTTGAGGTAGTTCAAACTCACGACGAGCCATAGCCAAATGACTCAGTGTATTTACTTTGAAATTAGAGTTATAATTAGTTTTTAGAAAAGTTTTAAATTATTAAATTAAACATCGATTAATTTAATAATTAATCGATGCTTGCTAAAATTAATTAAACTCACAAAATGTCTTTAATTAAACAAAAAAAGCCTCAATAAATAATAAAGGATGGAACATTTACAGCAAATGCTCAAACTGCTTTCTTTTACTTTCAATGTACACTCGGCATCTTCATAAAAACGATCGGGTTATTAGACAAGCAAATCTACCATTATTTACAAATTACATTTTCAACCGATTTTAAATAAACTTTTTGCTTCACTGTCTCGCTTTTTCCGGCTTGACATCGACTTCTGGGACAACCTATGTAAACTTTCGCCATTGTATTAATTATTTTAAATAAACTAAATCTATTTTATTTACCAATTGACTGGAAATCCTTTTAACTGGAAATGAGGCATTCTACCTTAGACTTGAAAATGCATTTGCATTGTGATTCTGAATCGAAGATAGATGTGGATGTCTATGGGTCACAGAATCCACTTCCCATCCGTTGGACTCTATACTTGTTTGTCGAGCTCCTTTTATAAAAAATGTCATCCCATTTTGTTTCGTACGTTTAGTAATAATAGTTAACTACGGGATATAGCAGAGAAATTCTGTATCGAGAGAATTTACAGATTATAGAATTTACAGATAGATTGAGCTCGGGTTGATCGCACACCATAAAACGTATAAAAAAAGAACTGAAGTTTTAAATGTATTGTGTTTTAAATCTTTCTCTTCTTTAGAGAAGTAGAGTCTTTAGAGAATTCTCGTAATGGCGGCCTAAAGGAAACCATCATATAATCTTGAGGGTGTAGTAAGAGGCGACAAGGTGAAAATAAAACTCGAAATTTGCAGCTACATCTTCCTTGACCCATCATCATATTGCTATCTTCCTGATCACTGACAAAAAATCAGAAAAAAACTGCGATTGCCTACTCATCAGCCAAACGTGGCAAATATTGCAAATTTAAGCCGGGAATAAGAGGCCATAAATGGGAATGCCTATTTTCAGCAGCTTTTAATAGACTTTAATCAATAAATGATGAATGAAAACTCCAGATATAATAATAGAACATAATAAAAGTGTCACCGTATAAAAAAAGAAGTTTTGGCTCTTAATACTAGATTTCTATTCTAACAATTAATTTAAAATACTTTACATAAGAATAGAAATGGATGTGTGACTTACCATAATTGCCTTGTTGTTCGAATGGCTGCAGCCTTTTTGGAACTATTAAGCCGAATTGCGGTCGGAGGTTTTAGGGTCATTTGTTTCGATAAACGGAGATTGATATATTTATAATTAACATTAATGACACTTAAATATATATAGAGAGGAGAATTTGCAACTCTCCGATGTTTGATTACATTACACATTAATAGATGTAATAAATTGATTCATACCTTACTAATAGAAGATTTTTCTTAAAAATTTAGACCTTTTTAAATTTTTTGTGTGATCTTTTTCAGTATTTTATTTCTCAGGCATGCAGCAGCTGTCCTCGTAATGTTTCCTTCTCCATCGAGCACGCGGTTAATTAGCACTTATTAAGCTATCATTACTTATTATTATTTTATCAGTATATAAGTAAACAAACATTTTTGAACAAATCTCAGACTTTAGTGAATATTTGTGTCTCATCTTTCAATATTTTATTACTCAGATATGCAGCCGTCTTTATGATGTTTTCCGTCTATCACGCGGTTAATCAACTCTTCTTATTAAACTATCATTTTTATTATTTTATCCGAATATTTATAAATGGTACTTACGGTTATATTTGTGTTTTACTAAGTTTTATATAATTTATACAGGGTTAATTTTTCAAATAGTAGCCAAATTTTAAACTTAAGTTAAAATATATAATTAATGATATACCGTTATATATTATTTTGAAAATACGAGCAACTAAGGCTTCTTCGCCTACCAATCGCACGACGAGTTACGAATGTGTGCGTGCGCAGTAAAATAAGTTAAAATAATGCCATACCACGCATTGTGAATTTAAAAGATAATAAGGACAGAATGTTTGAGATTTTTTTAATTAAGTTTTGTACACCATTTGCCTATATTACTTATTCTGAACCTTCTCTGCAAATTTGGCTGGTTATTACAAAATAACCCTGTATAACCTGTTTTGTTTTCAGTAGCGCAATGTGCGAATCCCAAATTGCTTGTTTGCAACCCCAGTATTATGTTAAAATATATCGTATACGTATGATTATACAAAAACAAAAAATGTTATTAAAGGTACTGTCTAATTATTGATTAATAAATAATTAATTAAAATATTAATTAATTTGATTTTTTTAACTTGCAATAATGTGCATACAAAGTGGAACTAAGCAGCCGTGTTAACGCATCCCATTCTGCACTCGGTATACCCTACTGATTGACAGATAAGGCTCTTGCGATTAGTGACAGAAAATCCGTCTTAAGACTTTAAATCTAAATTTCACTGACTGGTGGTAGGAAGCAATTACAATACAATTGCTAGGGTGCTGCTCTGCGCTCACTAACCCAACCATTCACCGCAGCAAATCTAAATTGGCACTTAAATAGTTAATTAAATCTTAAAATAATGCATACAATTAAAACAATGTGCATTTACCACATGAATACTGGAGTCTGTTCCCATCAGTGAAACGTTAAAATATTTTAACATTATTTTTACTCTTTATTAAACCATGATAATAAGAAGTTATTTCCCTTTTACGTACTCTTTTATAGTGTAGACTAGTAACTCTCAACTTTTGTATTACTAGTATGTTGTGAAATTTAAATGAATAAGATTTGTATGTTTAAGTACAAAGCAATAAAGATTAAAACTTCATTTATCAGATTTGAAATGTTTTAATATATTCTGTGAAACCTATTTTTATTTTGGGCAGTAAAACGCAAATTTCGGTTGTAAAAGTTTATGATAAATGTTGCTTAATCTGTTATTTCACGTAGGAGAGTTAGGGTACCGTGCAACTTTTGGGTAAAAAACTCTGTTCACGTTACGAACTGTAACCTAATTTACAGGCTACATTTGATACGTACACGTAACATGTAACACGAGTTAGTCGTATTAAACGAATCTACGTAGTACGGACTCCTTTAATTTTCAACTTTATATCTTCATTTCCACATTTTTTTGAAGATATTTCCAAAAATTTTTTTGGATATAAAGGTATTAGAATTGACGCATGAAAATATTTTAATAAATTGAAACAATATATTTACGGAATTTATTTACATGGTTAAGGATATTAGTATTAGATAAAATTTATTCTTTTTTTTACTCCTACACACTAGAAATTTTCATAAAGTACATATATACTATTTAACATGTAAAATTGCACTTTGACAAAATCTACTATAATTGTATAAAACTTGTTTGTATTTTATGCGCTGCCATACCGTTCATCACATTGCGTTTAAACTTATTGCTTGTATTTCCGCGAATCGATGGGAGGCGCAGTTGTAGAATCCAGATATAACCCATGCGAAGTCGGGGCAGATCGCTAGTTATCTAAAAAAAATAAGAAAATAAATTGAGACAACCTAGATAAACAAGGTCTCTGATTTACGTTTCGAAGAAAAAAATAAATATACAATAATATAGAAAAGTGTGAGGCCAGCTTTTGCAAAGCCTTCGAATTGTGCGCTAAATATCGAAATGTACCTAACTGCATCAAAAACAGTAAACAAAAAAAATATATAAAATAAACAACAAAATAACTTATTTTCTCCAATACCACCGTGTCTCCAGGGATGCGTAAATCGAAAATGCAAGACCGCAAGAGGCATTAAAACAGGGTTTAGAATCCAATGTTTTACATACTGGGAATAAGTTAATACTTTAAGAAAGTTGCTTTTTTACAATACAGTAACACAGCTATTGTTTCAAGGATATTCTTCCCGAGTGAAGTATTTGACGCAATGGAAATACAAAACTTATATCATTTTCTGAATTGAATTCTTCCTGCAATGTGAGAGAAATCTATGGTGAAAAGTGTGATTTGCAAGAAGTTGTTGTGCTAGGATTAAAAAGGATTACTTCGGTGGTTTGCATACGTAAAAAGAATGAATGTTTAAAAAATGACAAAGCATATTTATAGAATGATTTCTTATATTTACGCGAACACTACACATTGAAATAATACTAGTTTTTACGGAATTCATTACTCCTTAATTACCATTAAAATTTTAACTAAAACTTTTATTTTTAACTAACTAGTTATTTCAATATTTATAGAAATTATTGGCAGAATAGGCAGCGACACCCTAAATCCCTTAACGGTAAATATCATCGAATAAATTGGCGATATATTAAAAATGAGCCATGTTACGAGCACTCTTAACTGACGAGCATGTATGCGTTGATGTAATAGAAGCAAGATAAGTGTGTCAATTACAATTCTGTAGTCTCTGACTTCCTCTCTGGGTTACAGTAGTGAAAGTTTATGTTATGTCTACGTCTATCAGTTTACCGTTTCGACCCTTTATAAAATAGAAGAAGGAAATTAATGAAATATTTTAATTGTGAAATAAGAAATAAAAAATATATCTATAAACTTTATCATCTTCATCATCATCATTACAGCCCTTCACAAGATCATTGCTGAACATAAGCCTACTGTAAGGAATGCCACAAAACACGGTCCTGGGCCCCCCAATCCACCGACTTCCTGGATGTCTTACCAATTCGTCACTCCATCCAGCGGAAGCCACCCTACACTTCACCTACAGATACGAGGCTGTTACTCAACCTCTTGATTGTCGATTCTTTGAGCTATATGGCCGGCCCATTGTCGTTTTAGCTTACAAATCCGTTAGGCTATATCTGTTGCTCTAGTTCTGCTGCGATATCCTAATTTCTAAGTATATCAGGCAGAGCGAACCCGAGTAAAGTAAAAGTAAATTTACAGCTTATATACGTCCCACAGCTCACAGG